AAAAGGGAGTTTTGGGGTCACTCAGGGGAGTTCTGGGGTCCCTGTAAAGGTCCAGGGGTGATTTTTGGGGGGGTTTGAGGAGATTTTGGGGGGAGTCTGAAGAGGTTTTTGGAGGGTCTGAGGAGATTTTTGGGGGACCTGATAAGGTTTTGGGGGGGTCTGGGGAGGTTTTAGGGGGGTCTGAGGGGATTTCTGGGGGGCTGAGGAGGTTTTTTGGGGTGTCTGAGGGGGTTTTTAGGGCTGCTTGAGGAGGATTTTGGGGTCCTAGCCCCACTCACACTTCAGCACTGACGAAGAAATTGCAGCCAAGATCCACCTGGGTGTGCAGGGGGGCGGCGGCGTCCTGGGGACCCCAAAACCCCCCCGGGACACCCGGGGTTACACTGAGACCCCAAAGACCCCCAGGGACCCCCAAATCTCCCCACGAGATCCCCGAACATCTCCTCCAAATCCCCCAAAATGCCCCCACGAGACCCCCAAACCTCCCCAATCGCCCTCACCTCTCCCGAATCCCCAACAAAACCCCTCCCAAATCCCCCGAGACCCCAACAAAATGCCCTGAATCGCCCCCAAATCCTCCTGCTAGACCCACAAAAATCCCCCTAAACCCAAATCGTCCCGCTAGACTCCCAAAAATGCCCCCAAATCCCCCTAAACCCGACCCAAAGAGACCCCCAAACATCCCCCCAAACCCACCCCAAACACCCCCCCCAAATCCCCCCCAGACCCCTCCCCGCCCCTTCCCCAGCCATGACCACGCCCCCCTCGTTAAGCCCCGCCCCCGGCCCCGCCCCCCCGCGCACCTGCAGGCGGCTGAGGGCGGAGCGGAGCTGCAGCACCTGCGCCTGCTGCTCGAACACGGCCTCGCGCTGCTCCTGCACCCGCCTGCGGGGGGGCGCGGTCAGGGGGCGGGGCTTCCCCAGGGGGCGGGGCTTCGCGGGGAATGGGCGTGGCCACAATTCGCGGTGCGGCGGGAGGGGGCGTGGCCGCGATCTTAGGGTGAGTGGAGTGGCCACAACAGGGTCGCTATGCAGTGGAGGGGGGGCGTGGCCACGAAATGGGCGTGACCTCTGGGTGAATGGGCGTGGCCACAATACAGTGGCTATGGGGGTGCGTGACCTTACAATGGGCGTGGCCTCTGGTGGATGGGCGTGGCCACAGCATGTGGTTATTATGGAAGGAGGTGTGGCCCCTATTTCATGTCCACGCCCCTATAATAATAAAGGGGGCGTGATCATGAAATAGGCAAAGTTTCATAATTAATATGCGTGGGCACATTATGCTGAGGCTGAAGGGGCGTGGCCTCAGCGTGAAAGGGCGTGGCCACAACACTGTTATTATGTGGAAGAGCTGTTAATGGGTAGGGGCGTGGGCCATGAAGGGGCGTGGCCTCACTATGAATGAGCCTGGCCAGGACACGCGGTTATTACGCGTCGGGAAAGAGGGCGTGGTCACCAAATAGGCGTGGCCTCAGCATGAAAGGGCGTGGCCACAACACACCGCCCTTCTGCGGAGGCGGGGTCGAAACGGGAGGGGCGTGGCCACAGCGGCGAGGGGAGGCCCGGGCTGTCGCGGGGGCGGGGTTTCAGTCGCGATATGACGTCGCTTACCTCAGGTCTCGCTGCAGGACGTCGCTGACGAACGCCTCGTAGCGCTGCGCCTTCTCCGCCGCCGCCGCCATGTTGCCTCTGACGTCATCGCCGGAAGTGCGTCATCACCCGCGCTGCCGCCTGTAGGGCGCCCCCTGGCGGGCGGGAGGTCCCGTCCCCGTCCTTGCCTTCCTTATCGCGGTCGCTTATCGCGACATGCCCGCCGCTCTATCGCCGATAAAACCTTACAGCGCGCTGAGTGCGTCCGGAACAACGCGGCCTGAGCCCCCCAGCCCGTACCTGGCCCAGGTGTGCCCCAGGTGTGTCCTGGATGTCCTCAGGTGTCCCCAGCCCCCAGATTGTCCCACATGTCCCCAGGTGTGTCCCAGGTGTGTCCTCAGCTCTCTCCAGGTGTCCAAGGTGTGTCCCAGGTGTGCCCAGGTGTTTCCCACCCTCCAGCTGTCCCAAGTATGTCCCAGGTGTGTCCCCAGGTGTGTCCCAGCTGTCCCCAGGTGTGTCCCCAGGTGTGTCCCAGGTGTGTCCCCACCCCCCAAGTGTCCCAGATGTGTCCCAGGTGTGTCCAGGTGCTCCCCCAGGTGCCACCCAGGTCCCTCCCAAGTGTGTCCCCAGGTGTGCCCCAGATGTGCCCAGGTGTGTCCTCACCCCCCCAGGTGTCCCCAGCTGTCCCCCAGGGTCCCTCCCAGGTGTGTCCCCAGGTGTCTCCCCCCAAATTTTGGGGTCTCCCCCCCCCCCCCGCCCCCATCAGCAGCACCCAGCGCCAGCAGCTCAGGGATTTATTGACCCCGCCCACCTGGGCGAAGGAGGCGGGGCTAAGCAGGGTGTGTCAGAGAGGAGGCGTGGCCAAGCGGGGGGCGGGGCTTAACACACTCACGAGCGCACACTGAGAGACCCCCACCAGAATTGGGGGGCGGAGGGGGGGGGCTTGGCAAGCACAAAGCGGAGGGGGAGGGAAGCGCCGGGGGGCATTTGGGGGGTCCTGAACCCCTGGGACCCCTCCCCAAAATGGATTTGGGGGATCCTGGGTGGATTTTGGGGGGTCTTGAACATCTGGGACCCCTCCCCAGAATGGATTTGGGGGGTCCTGGATGCATTTTGAGGATCCCCGGGGGAATTTGGGGGGGGTCTTGAACCCCTGGGACCCCTCCCCAAAATGGATTTGGAGGGTCCTGGGGGGGATTTTAGGGACTCCCGGGTGGATTTTCGGGGGGTCTTGAACTCCGGGACCCCTATCCAGGTTGGATTTGGGGGATCCTGAGGGGATTTTGTGGGGTCTTGAAGATCTGGGACCCCCCCCAAGATAGATTTGGGGGCATCCTGGGTGGATTTTGGGGGTTCCCAGGGGAATTTCGGGGATCCCAAGAGGGTTTTGGGGGTCCTGAACATGTGGGACCCCTCCCCAGGGGGATTTTGGGGTGACCTGGGTTGATTTTGGGGTTAATTCTCCGGGGCCCTGGGGTACCCGAACCCCCCCATTTGTGGGGGTCACAAAGCAGGGGTGGATTTGGGGGTGTCCCCAAGGAGTTTTGGGGGGACCCGGGGGGGCTTTTGGGGGGCGTCCCCATGGCAGTGTTGGGGGTGTTTTGGGGTGTCCCCAGTGGGATTTTTGGGGTACCCCAGGGCAGTTTTAGGGAGTTTTTGGGATGTCCTGAATGGGATTTCTGGGGTGTCCACAGGGGATTTGGGGTGCCCCGGAGGGGATTTTTTAGGATATCTCCAGGAGGCTTTTAGGGTACCCCCAGTGGGATTTTGGGGTGTCCCCGGGAGGTTTTTGGGGTGGTGTCCCCAGGAGGTTTTTTGGGGTGTTCCCGTTGGTATTTTGGGGTGTCCCCGGGAGGTTTTTGGGGGGGTGTTCCCGTTGGTATTTTGGGGTGTCCCCGGGCGGTTTTTGGGGTGTTCCCGGGAGGTTTTTGGGGTGCCCCCATGTTTTGGGGCTCAGTCGGAGAAGAGGCTGGCGAAGCTCTGCCGCAGCGCCCGCAGGCTCTCGGGGGGGGCCCTGCTCGGGGGCGGGGCTGCGGAATTTGGGGGTTCAGGGGGGGTCCAGGGGGCGGGGCCTCGCCCCTCCCCTCCCCCTCCCCCCCGAGCCCCGCCCCCACGACTTACCTGGGGGGAGGGGGCGGTGCCGGGTTTGGGGGCCAGCGCCGGTTTGGGGGCGATGGGCGGGGCCTGAGGGCGGGGCTGGCGCGTGGTGGGCGGGGCCTGCGGGCCGGGGGGACGGGGCGTGGCAGAGGAGGGCGGGGCTTGGGGGCGGGGCTGGGGCACGGAGGGGGGAGCGTTGGAGGCGGGGCTGTGGGGGAGGTGGGCGGGGCTTGGGGACGGGGCTGGGGTGACGTAGCCGGGCCTTGGGGGCGGGGCTGAGGAGAGGAAGTGGGCGAGGCTTGTGGGCGGGGCTGTGAAGTGGGCGGGGCTTGTGGCCTTGGCTGGGGGGACACTGCTGGGCCTGTTGGGCGGGGTTGAGAAGTGGGCGGGGCTTGAGGGCGGGGCTGCGAGGTGGGCGGGGCTTGAGGGCGGGGTTGGGATGTGGGAGAGATTTGTGGGGGTGGCTGCGGGGATGTGGGCGGGGCTTGTGGGCGAGGCTGCGGGCTGGGTGGGCGTGGCTGAGGCGCAGAGGCGGCCAGAGGTGGGCGGGGCTGCGAAGTGGGGCGGGGCTTGTGGGTGCGGCTGCGGCGAGCTGGGCGGGGTTTGTGGGCGTGGGCTGAGCTGGACTGGGTGGAGTTTGTGGGCGTGGCTGCGGGGAGGTGGGGCGGGGCTGGGGCGTGGCCGTTGGGGTTTGGGGGCGGGGCTGTGCAGCGAGTGGGCGGGGGCTGGGCGGCGCCTCGAGGTTGGGCGGGGCCTGGCTGGGTAGGGCGTGGTGAAGCTCCGCCCATTTGTGGGCGTGGCTGCCCCTGCGGCTGGGGGCGGGGCTGGGCGGGGCCAGATGGAGGCGGAGCACCTGGAGGGAAGAGAAACAGCTGAGGGGGCGGGGCTTGAGGCAGGTAAGGTCCTAATTTGGGCCAAAATCCTCCAATTTTGGGTGCATGGGGGGCAGATTTGGGCTGTCCCAGGGCTGGGGAGTGGCTCCCCAAAATTTGGGTGTCTGGAACAATTTTTAGCAATTATTTTAAAATTTGGTGAATTTTTTGGATTTAGGCCAAATTTGAGGTGTTTTTTTTTAGGAAACCCCCACTTTTTCCAAGCCCCTTTTCAGCGAAAATTTTCCCATTTGGAGCAAAAGCCGATCCCTCAAATTTTAGGACGTAAATCCCCAAATTTCGGATTTTTGGGGGTCCCCAAAATTTTGGGGTTTTTTTTTTTGGTCACTCACCCTGGGGCTGGGGTCTCTGCTGGGGGGGGGTCCCCGGCCGGGGGGTCCCCGACGTCGCCGACACCTGCACAAAAAGGAGGGGGCGGGGTTTAAATTTTGGGGGGGTCTGGGAAGCACCTGGAGGGGGGTGGGGGGAGGGGCGGTTACCTGTGGGCGTGGCCGGGCGGGGGAGGGGCTGCGGGGGCGGGGCAGCTCCTCCCTCATCCGCTCCAGCACCAACTCCACGATCCGGGCCTGGTCCTCGGCGCCGCGCCCGGGCCCAGCAGAGGCAGCCACGAGCCCAGGACCTGCAGGTGGGCACAGGTGGGCACAGGTGGGCGGGGCTCAGGTGTGGGCGGGGGCTCAGGTGTGAGGGGGAGGTGGGGGAGGGGGGCAGGTGAGCAGTGGAGCCCAGCGAGGGAGGTGCAGGTGGTCAGGAGAGGTGCAAGGGGAGGGAACCAGGGGTTAGGGGGGGAACAGGTGATTCAGGTGTGCCCCAGGTGTGCCCCAGGTGTGCCCAGCTGTGCTCAGGTGTGCCCCAGGTGTGCCCAGGTGTGTCCCATGTGTCTCAGGTGCCCTATGTGTGCCCAGCTGTGACCCAGCTGTGGCCCAGGTGTTCCCCAGGTATGCCCAGGTGTCCCACACCTGTCCCCGCCTGTGTCCCAGGTGTCCCCCAGGTGTTCGCCAGCCCTGCCCAGGTGTGCCCAGCTGTCCCCCAGCTGTCCCCCAGCTGTCCCCCAGGTGTGCCCAGGTGTCCCCCAGGTGTGCCCAGGTGTGCCCATTACCTGCACAATCTGCTCCTGCCCGTCGGGGCCCCTCAGCGCCTCCACCCCGCAGATGTCGACGCCCCCCGAAGAGGCCGGCGCAGGCGTCGACCCACGCCCGGTGCCTGCCGAGGGGCGGGGCTCAGCGGCCACGCCCCACCGCCGTGGCCACACCCCCTCAGCGCGGCCACACCCTCTCGAATTGGGCGGGAGCCCCAACCCGAAGCCACGCCCCTTTCCAAATGGCCACGCCCACAGAACCCCACATGTTGCACACCTTTGGGTGGCCACGCCCATCTAAGCCACGCCCCTTTCCCGCATAGCCCCACCCCTCTCTCAATAACCCCGCCCCTCCCCACATAGCTCTGCCCCTTCTCTTCTAGCCCCACCCCCTTCATGCTAGCCCCACCCCCTTCCTGCATAGCCACACCCCTTTTCTCATAGCCCCACCCTTTCTCTTCTAGCCACACCCCTTTTGTGATAGCCCCCGCCCCTTCATGAGGGGCCACACACCTTTTATCATAGCCCCACCCCTTCTCTCATGGTCACACCCCTTTCTTCAAAGCCCCACCCCTTCTCTCCTAGCTCCGCCCCACCCCACCCGAGCCCCTCCCAAGGCCACGCCCCCTTTGGCTCCACCCCCTCGCACTCACCTGGGGCTGAGAGCAACCGGCTCCACCTGCGGCCCCTCCCCCGCCGTGTCCCCGCCCCCCAGGGACCACCTGGGGAGACACCGGGGTCAGCGGGGCCCCTCCCCCACTCACACAGGCCCCGCCCCTTCACAGACCACTCCCATTCCCAGTGCTCCCAGTGCTCCCAGTGCTCCCAGTCCCTCCCAATCCCCTCCCAGTCTCGCCCAGTTCCCCCCACTCCCATTCCCAGTGCTCCCAGTGCTCCAGTCTCACTGCAGGGCTCTGTACTGGTTTCCTCCCCATTTCCCCCAGTCCATCCCAGTCCATCCCAGTCCATCCAGTACCTCCCAGTGCTCCCAGTCCCATTCCCAGTCCCATTCCCAGTGTTCCCAGTGTCCCCAGTCTCACCGCAGGGCTCTGTACTGGTCCCCCCAGTGTCCCCAGTCCCATTCCCAGTGTTCCCAGTGTTCCCAGTCTCACCGCAGGGCTCTGTACTGGTCCCCCCCAGTGTTCCCAGTCCCATTCCCAGTGTTCCCAGTTCCCCCAGTCTCACCGCAGGGCTCTGTACTGGTCCCCCCAGTCCCATTCCCAGTGTTCCCAGTGTTCCCAGTGTCCCCAGTCTCACCGCAGGGCTCTGTACTGGTCCCCCCAGTGTCCCCAGTCCCATTCCCAGTGTTCCCAGTGTCCCCAGTCTCACCGCAGGGCTCTGTACTGGTTCCCCCAGTTCCCCCAGTCCATCCCAGTGTTCCCAGTGTTCCCAGTCTCACCGCAGGGCTCTGTACTGGTCCCCCCAGTGTCCCCAGTCCCATTCCCAGTGTTCCCAGTGTCCCCAGTCTCACCCGCAGGGCTCTGTACTGGTTCCCCCAGTGTCCCCAGTCCCATTCCCAGTGTTCCCAGTGTTCCCAGTGTCCCCAGTCCCATTCCCAGTGTTCCCAGTGTTCCCAGTCTCACCGCAGGGCTCTGTACTGGTCCCCCCCAGTGTCCCCAGTCCCATTCCCAGCGTTCCCAGTGTTCCCAGTGTCCCCAGTCTCACCGCAGGGCTCTGTACTGGTCCCCGATCCTCTGCACCCGCAGACCCGCTCGGTTCCCACGGGGCCCCCCCCCGCAGCAGCGCCCCCCCGCCCGGGGCCCCCGCCCATGGCAGCGGCCACGGCCCCCAGGAGCTGCGGGGAGCCCACGCGCACCTGGGCAGGTGAGGGGACAGTGGGGGACAGTGAGGGACAGTGAGGGACAGAGGGGACAGTGAGGGACACAGGGACAGTGAGGGACAGGGGACAGTGAGGGACAGTGAGGGACAGAGAGGGACACAGGGACAGTGAGGGACAGGGGACAGTGAGGGACAGTGAGGGACAGAGAGGGACACAGGGACAGTGAGGGACAGAGGGGACAGAGGGGACAGAGAGGGGACAATGAGGGACACAGGGACAGTGAGGGACACAGGGGACAGTGAGGGACAGTGAGGGACACAGGGACAGTGAGGGACAGTGAGGGACACAGGGGACAGTGAGGGACAGAAGGGACAGTGAGGGACAGGGGACAGTGAGGGACAGTGAGGGACACAGGGGACAGTGAGGGACAATGAGGGACAGGGGACAGTGAGGGACACAGGGGACAGTGAGGGACAGTGAGGGACAGAGGGGACAGTGAGGGACAGGGGGACAGTGAGGGACACAGGGGACAGTGATGGACAGTGAGGGACAGTGAGGAACAGGTGAGGGGACAGGGGGACAGTGAGGGACACAGGGACAGTGAGGGACAGAGAGGGACACAGGGGACAGTGAGGGACACAGGGGACAGTGAGGGACAGTGAGGGACAGTGAGGGACAGTGAGGGACAGAGGGGACAGTGAGGGACACAGGGGACAGTGAGGGACAGTGAGGGACAGAGAGGGACAGTGAGGGACAGTGAGGGACACAGGGACAGTGAGGGACAGGGGACAGTGAGGGACAGTGAGGGACACAGGGACAGTGAGGGACACAGGGACAGTGAGGGACAGTGAGGGACACAGGGACAGAGAGGGACAGTGAGGGACAGTGAGGGACACAGGGGGACAGTGAGGGACAGAGGGGACAGTGAGGGACAGTGAGGGACAGTGAGGGACAGTGAGGGACAGTGAGGGACACAGGGACAGTGAGGGACAGAGGGGACAGTGAGGGACAGTGAGGGGACAGGGGGACAGTGAGGGACAGGGGACAGTGAGGGACAGTGAGGGACAGGGGACAGTGAGGGACAGGGGACAGTGAGGGACAGTGAGGGACAGAGAGGGACAGTGAGGGACAGTGAGGGACAGAGGGGACAGTGAGGGACACAGGGGACAGTGAGGGACAGAGGGGACAGTGAGGGACACAGGGGACAGTGAGGGACAGAGAGGGACAGAGAGGGACACAGGGACAGAGAGGGACAGTGAGGGACAGTGAGGGACGGGACAGTGAGGGACAGTGAGGGACAGAGAGGGACAGCTGAGGTGTGACACATTGAACCACACCCACACAGAGCCACACCCACATTGAACCACACCCACACAAAGCCACACCCACACCAAAGCCACGCCCATCTCAGGCCACGCCCACCTCTGGCCACGCCCCACTCACCTCTCCCACCCCGGCAGGGGCGGGGCTGAGCGTCACCGTCATGGGGAAAGTGGGGGCGGTCAGCTGGGGACACCAGTGACACCAGTTAGAGACCAGTTAGAGACACCACTGACACCAGTCCCAGTCGCCTCCCAGTCCCTCCCAGTCCCTCCCAGTCCCTCCCAGTCCCCCCCAGTCCCTCCCAGTGCTCCCAGTGCTCCCAGTGCTCACCAGTCCCCGGGGCCGGTTGCAGAAGCGCTGGGGCACCAGTGGAAAGGCCTCATGGCCCAGTTCCCGCTGCAGCCGAGCCAACTGGGCAAACTGGGAGCAACTGGGAATGTCAGGGCCCAGCCGAGCGCCCCGCCCAGCACTCCCAGCACCGCTCCCAGTTCCCTCCCACTGCTCTCCCAGTTCATCCCAGTCCCTCCCAGTCGCCCCCATTCCCCCCTCTCTCAGTCCCCCCAGTCCCTTCCCAGTGCTCCCAGTCCCCTCCCAGTCCCTCCCAGTGCCTCCAGTTCCCCCCGAATCCCCTCCCGGTCTCTCCCAGTCCCTCCCAGTCCCCCTAAATCCCCTCCCAGTGCCTCCCAGTCCCCCCATTCCCTCTCCCAGTGCCCCCAGTTCCCCCCCCAGTCCCTCCCAGTCTCGCCCAGTGCTCCCAGTTCCCCTCTCAGTCGCTCCCAATCCCTCCCAGTGCCCCTTAAATCTTCTCCCAGTCCCTCCCACTACTCCCAGTCCCCCCCCCCATCCTCTCCCAGTCATTTCCCAGCCCCTCCCAGTCCCCCCGAATCCCCTTCCAGTTCCCTCCCAGTGCTCCCAATTCATCCCAG